TCCTAATTTTTCCAAAAATAAAAGGTTTATACTTGGTGAAGATAAAACTTTTTGGATTATTACCTTTGGGAATCCAATTCCAATTATATTAGCGTTATTTTCACTTGTCAAAGTTCCATTTGTTTTTATTGCATCCTCGTTATCAAAATCTTCGGAAGATATACGTCTAAAATGTGCTTAATTGCAAACGAAATTATTATTTTGTAATTATATAGAATAATTATTATTCGAAATCAATGGCGATGCAACACAGCGTTGTATCCCAACTATTAACTTGCACACGTTAATGTATATTATTGCCACGAAAAATACACCACGAGTCTGACTCGTTATTCTACGCGAATGGGTTAAGAATGAAAAATCAATTCTTTCAACAGCTTCGTTCATTATTTTCGAACGAGTAAAGCGAGAATGGCTAATTTATTTTATCAATCGAGAACAGTTCGTACGATTTCAACCGGTCATGTGAAAATTATATTTGCGCAACGCTTCGAAAGTGTCCGTGAATGTTAATATCGTTTGCACTGTCTGCACATTCTCTTCCGGATGCTTTGAATACGTGTGCAAAATACCATGTACCAAATACCACGTATCTACTCTCTGTCGACGTGATCCATGTTCCGTTTCTCTAACTCTTTTTTAACAGACGTTCGAATACTTCGCTACACTGAAACGAAACAAGGGGGCCGGGTTTTCGTTTCTTCCACGAGGCAAGCGTCTCTGCAATTCAAGGAACGCGATGACAAGATCGCGAGCATTCGACGACTTGAACAGAAAATACAATTTCACTTTCCTCTTTGATCGAACGATTAAAGCTTCTAAAACGTGATGCTACTGCCTGAGAAAGCAGTTATAAAATTAGACACGTCAATTTGTGAATTATTATTCCTACCATTTGATCATTATTTTTGACGAAATTTACTTTGACTGAGCATAATGTAATTTGCTCTGTAAAATGTATATCTATGATCTAAATCTCACGATTATTTTGAACTTCCGTAGCAATGGTTTGTGATGTGAAAGTAATTTCAAAATGAAGTCTATTAAAAAAGTACGCGTTTCATATAATGGTAGCAATTTAATGAAATATTATTAAATACCGTTCGAACAAGTACCTCTGTTAAATGAGATTTCCAAATTTCCACTACGCACGTTCATAGGTCACCTGAAGCATATGAAGAAATCTCAGTGCCCAGAAACTAAGATGCAATCGCCCGAGTTCGTCTTTTCTGCAAAATGAAGAAATTATGAAAATTGAATTTATTGAAAGAAGAGAGACCGTTGAAATGTTAGCGTCGCGTAGCGGTGAAACTGGAAATAAAATTTAAAGTTTGCCCTCCTTGTCGCATACTACTATCTCTTGTCGCAACTATTACGCTTCTTGTCTGTAAACGAGACATGTTCTGTCATCTGTCGGATTTTTCCGTTTTAGCCTTTTAGTTCTAGCCGAAGCTGAGAGATGCTCAGATGACAGCACGCGACAGATGTACATCCATCCTTGTCGCACACCATTACCTTCCTTGTCTATCACATTGCATAAGTCTGCTTGCGCACACCATTATCTTCCTTGTATATCACATTGCATAAGACTGTCCTTGTCGCACACTGTCTAGCGACAGTGCTGCCATCTAGCATTTCTAAATTTCTCCTGAAACTAAACGCATAAACTGGAAAAATTCGATAGATGGCAGCATCATGTTCGTAGACAAAGATCGTGAGACAAGGACAACAATAGATTTTAATTCCACCATCTCGTCGCTACGCGGCGCTAACATTTCAATGTTTATAAATTAATCAAATTTTCATTTCCAAGAAAAACTAATTAAGAGGACTAGTTTATGAACTTTTGCGATTGTATCTTTGTTTTTAGACCTTTAGCTTCCTTCTCGCGTTCCATTTGACCAATAAAATATACGAATGAAGATTTGCAAGTTTCGTTCAATAGATCGAGGTACTCGATGCAAGTACATTAATATTTTAGTATACCAATAACATCGGAGCTACAGCAGTGTCATGTATTTGGAAAAGTATCATTGTATTTCTGTAAAACATTTGTCTTTTTTTCATTTTGAAATTTTCGTCACTGTCGTTAGATTTTCGTCATAAATCGTTATGAGAAACCGAAATATTCACTGGTCCAGGAAAGACAAAAGTATACACGCAGAAACACTATCGCTTTCGAATGGAATATAATTTCAAATATAATGTTCGCCACAATAAACCACAGAGGGCGTAAAAATCACTCTGATTATTTTTCGGTTTGGTGTTTCAGAATCCGAAACATCAGGTCCTGAGTATATGCTCAATGTCACATCTATTTTATCTTCAGTCGATGATGCAACTGGTGTTTATAATCCATTTAAAAGAAAGCATAAGGAGAAATAAATAACGTACGTGTGCAATGGAAGTTCTTGAACTGAAAGACGTTAAAGCTGTACCCGATATTATTCATCCTTATCTGGATAGAGTAAAATCTGAAGCAACGCCGCTTGTGATTGACAATGGTAATTTAAATTTATTATGTTACATTACATCAGACAAATATACAAATACGTGCAAAGTTCAGTTATAATACAAAATATGAAACAAGTATAATGGATATTAACAAACAATTGTTTTGTAGGATCGTACAATTGCAGAGTCGGATGGGCTACAGAGAAGGAGCCTCAGTTAATATTTAAAAATCTCATTGCAAAACCACGCAAGGAGCGTGGCAAGAAGGACGGTGAGCCTCAAGTTGGGAATGACATAGCTAACATTGAAGCTGTCCGATTTCAATTAAAAACACAGTTCGACAGGAACGTAGTGACACATTTTGAAGCTCAGGAACAAATATTTGACTATACGTTTACTCACATGGGAATAGATACAGAGGGTGCAGTGAATCATCCCGTTATCTTGACAGAGGCGTTTCTGAATCCTAATTATTCGCGAAATTGTAAGCCTGTAAATGTAGAGGATAATTCTAGATTTACACATTGATAACGATTGTACGCATTGTAGTGATGGCTGAACTTTTATTCGAGTGTTACAACGTACCTGCTATAGCGTATGGAGTGGATTGCTTGTTTTCCTATCAGCACAACAATTGTCCATCGGATGGTTTAATCATTAGCATTGGGTATCACACTACGCACATAATACCCATATTGGATGGTAAAGCGGATCCTGTAAATTCAAGGAGAATCAATATCGGCGGATACCACATTACATCTTACATGCACAGGCTGCTCCAACTGAAATATCCAGTTCATGTTAATGCAATAACACCCAGTCGAGCAGAGGTATAATGATTCGTTTCTTGCAGTCGTTATCAACGTTTCAGATATGCGTAATTTCATTTTCTACACGTAGGAATTAATACATGAACATTCAATGATAGCTTTAAGTTATCAAGAAGAGATTTCTAAATGGGCGGATCCAGATTATTACGACACGAATGTATTAAGGGTACAATTACCCTATGTTGCACCCGCAAATGCTCCCGGATTAACAGTCGAGCAACAGAAGGAAAGAAAACGCGAATTAGCTAGAAGGTTAATGGAAATCAACGCGAGGAAAAGAGAAGAGAGAGTTAGTAACATGTTGTAATATCTGATCGTGAAAATTATTCATATACGAATTAATCACATACGATTAAATGGTAATTTGCAGTTGGCGGAAGACGAGGAACAATTGAATCAGTTACTAGCCGTTCAAGATTTATTGGAGGAAGGTGAAACGGATGAATTCGACCAAGCGTTGAAAACTTACTCTCTCGCAAACGAGGCAGATCTGATAAAAATGATCAACAATCTGCAAGCAAAAGTGGAGAGAACTAGACAAAAGATAGTAGCGGCTAATTCACAAGAGGAGAACATCGCAATGGAGGAACAGAAGCCAAAAATAAAGTCGAGTTTGCAACCAAAAGATCAGCAAGATTTTGACGAATGGATCGCTGGTGTCCGAAAGAAAAGGTAATCAATGACCTATCCGTTCTTTTTACGATGATATATCTGACGCATTGTACACTTTGTAGACAGGAGATATTAGAAAGACGAATGGCAAAGAGACAGCGTAGACAAGACATGGCGAAACGCAGAACAGCTGCTGCACAGGAAAGAATGCGTATAATAAGCCAATTAGCGAGAAAAGAGAAACGCGATGATGATTTTGGTATGAGAGACGAGGATTGGGACGTTTACAAAGTGATAAACAGAGTTGGTACAAATTTTGAAT